AAAAAAAAAAAAAAAAAAAAAAAAAAACAGTCGAATTTAAATTGTTAATACCTAGTGTAGCGTAACCGATCACAGTTCCGGTGAAGAATATCGGTATTACCATGTCGAGCTTAATTTGATGGTGACACAGGCACAACGATGATAGTCCCACGAAGAAACAGAGTACACAGATGAAGTTCGACAAAAAATCGGCTGAAAGTAATCACACAATAATGATTATTTCTCTACCAATTATGATACGAATATGAAAGTCACAGAGGAAAACGCGTTAAGTTCAACAATTTCCAAAAGATTGGCAATTCGAAGAACGTCAATTCCTCGGTTAAGAAACATTCGTATATTCATAGTTCCAGTTCATAAGATGTGTTCTTCCAGGCAATTGCCAAGCTTAATGAAATAAAAATATCACACGAACAGTGTGTTCAAGGTGTGTGTATTGGGTACGAGGTAACACGAATAATGAACTTATCACGTTTTGTTCGTATGATCTCTGGTATGCGTAATGAAACACGTACGTAAAATTTTGCAAGAGTCAGGATCAATTATGGGATGACAGGCGTATGAGAAGGCTGGCACATAGGCCGCGGAATAGTTCCCGTAAGTGGCCACTGCGACATAAACCGAGCCAACGCCGGTGTACGCGCTGAACACTCGCCTCATCGGCGAGGAAACAGTGGGACTCATTACCTAGTGGGAAATATTTTTTTCACATTAGAATCGTAAGCTTCGTTTTATCATTTACACCGTGTGTTCATCGATATATTTTAGTTTGAATATATTACGCGAGTGCACGTTTGATTAATTATGTACAATGATGCCAATGATAATAATAATAATAATAATAATTTGCTACCAACTTTTCGCATGTAATGTGGGAGTATTCAATTAATTAATGATTAATCAAAAGTACACGTTATTTGTAAGTATAATTAGAATGGTAGTAATAACAAAATTGTACGATTCCGTTTAAAACAGTTTAATAAAAATATTTTCAACTTTTAATTGTACTTTGTTCTTCAGATCGAACGATTTTCGTGTTGCTGACAGTTGAAACAATTATTAAAAGGTAAACTCGTTCGATCGATGAAAATTTGTCAATCCGATCGATCGAGTATCGATCGTCGAAGGAAGAATTACTTTTCTTTCAATCTATTAATCACAGTTATTTACGATTCGATCAATAAAATGAATTTGACGTTGAAAATTTCGTTGGTACATTACGCTTGCAAGCAGCAAACGAGGGACTTGATAAAGTTGCTGATTCGACAACTAAATAGGTATGGTAATGTTTCCTTTGCTGATAAGCACAAAAGTGAGTCCGGCTATGTACATACAGAATTCTTATGCAGTTAGTCATTATTATTGTTTTTTAAAGAAAGAATACGTTGCTTGCTAGATTTTCTCCTGTCGATGAATCAAAGAGAGAGAATACTAAAACCATTAAAAAAAAGACGTTTTTGAAAAATTCAATTGCGATTCTGCAATTTATTTTCATAGAAATTGTTCAAAAAAAAAAAAAAAAAAAAAAAGAAATAAACAGTTGAATAAAAGTTGGAAATCTTGCAGTACCTTCACTCCGTTCTCCTTGATATCCGTGACAGTCAGCATGCTTACGATAGCCGCGAAATAACTATCGACACTGAAGTCCCAGCCAGTCAGGAACATGTGATAGATCTCGACCGCCACCACGTTCTTTTCGCAACTGGGTCGAACGTTGTTGAACGGTACCGAGGCAGGTTGTACGTCGACGATGATCATCGTGTCGCTTGCCTGTACCCTCGCGTACGGCGCGATTTCGGTATTAAACTCCATGTTGCATCCACCCGGTACGGGTGCTGCGAAGAGAACAATGAACTCTGATGCACCACGAAAATGATCGAGCCCGTTTCGTATCTGTATGTGAAATGGAACAGCCGACGATATACAGGCTGGCCCTGGTAGGTACTTATTACCACTTGAATAGCCGCGATTGCCGGACATTTCACCAAATTTAGATAATATCGGAGCAGCTCGTTGCTGGAAATTGTTTTCAGTGCATTCGGCCGAACGAGAAATTTACATTTCTGTTAAATACATGTGTAAATTCTATAAAATTCAACTATTCAATTCAATTCGATTCTGTACAACAACATTTGTATATTGATTTCTTTTTTTTTTTTATTTCGTTCAATTGTACTATTAAATTATTTTTATTAATATTATATTTTTCCGTCACGTTGTACAAGTTAAACGTGTAAATTTAATAATAAATTCAAGTCGAGCTTCTTTGTCTAAATGCTGAAATACTGAAAATTGTAGTTAACTGCATTTCCCACATTGTAGCTTATCAAGTACATCAGCGAATAAAATAACGCGAGGCGTGTCGCTTTTATCACGAGCACGTTTCTTTCTTTATGGCGCGCGACACTCTTTCGACGAGCACGAGGATTAAGGAGTGTAGAGGCCATTGAAAGCCATTTTTAATCTCTTTGTATCGCAACAGTGAAGCACGTACTGATGATGCGAATTGTGGCCACTCGTGAAGAAAGCAATGGGTGCAATGCTAACAATAGGGGTTGGATATAGGTGATACATTTAAGGGTCTTAAAACATGGTTACGGTAGGAAGTTGATAAAGCAAATGGAATTTAGAAATTTGGAAAAATTATTCCAATTATTTCGACGTTTTGTAAGACGAAATTAATAGTCGAGGATATTGCGAGAACGTAAAATATTTCAAATACACTTTGTGTTTGTTTTGAAAGAAAATCTACGCTAGTGAATATTGAAAATCTTTCTTGCTTAAATTTCTTAATTGACGTAGAAATACGTTGCAGCGACAATAGTAAATGGATCACCCTGTATATCGTTTCATATTAGTCGAAACATGCAACGATTTGAATTAACAATCAGAATTAATAATTCGTGAACAAAATGAAAAATTAGAATCGTTTCAATTTTTAAAATTTATGGTACGTGGAATGAAAGAAGAATTAAAGGCCTTGTCGACAAGTATCATATATATCATAATTCAATATACTTACATCTGTCATGGTAAGCAATAGCAACGAGTAGAGCCTCAACTTTGTGGACATTATCATTCTTCACATACAGTTGTGTCACTATATTTGTGGTTAGTCTAGAGAAAAGTCCGACATTTGATCCAAATACACTTCTATTTGAATTTTTATCAAGAGAATCTTTATCATAGGACAGTGTGACATTGTACTGATAGGTATGAATTTGGAAAATAATAAATGAGGCGCTGGAGGAAACGTTTGTTACATTAAACGTTGATTTGCTATTGGCTTCAATAGCTATTTGTTTTTTATATGGTGAATAATCATGTAGACTAGTTAAATTCACCTGAAATACACTTCCATCTGTAAAATGTACAGTATATTACATTTACAAATAGCCCCTCACTGCAAAGTTCAATTTATTATGTTACTTTGCAACAATTTCAACTATTGCCAAGAGAAACAAATTACAATGTAATTTTGATTTGGATTTTGTTTCTGCATATAATAACTGCAAGTTCATTTCTCTTGCAACGGTTTGGAAATTCTTATGTGTTGGCGTTACATGAGACAGAAACTGGGATATTTAGTAATGTTAATAGTTAATAGTTTCATTTAAATGTTACAAACAATAAGCTTGTTAGTTATATTTAGTGGTTAATTTAGTATCCTTATAAAGACTGGTTACAAATGGTTTTTTTAATAAAAGAATTTAAAGACCACAGTACGTTTCAAACACATGTACATTTAGTTCTTTTCATATCACATTAATACAAGTACAAGTAGATATTTGAATATTCTGAAAATGAAGATAAATGTGTCTAATTATGTTTAAGACTAAGAAGAAAATAATGAAATTTAAAAACAACACAAATAAATAATTATGTACGGAATGTATGAAAAAAGACGTAAGAGACACGTAAGAGAATTTCTTCAAGTAGAAATAATTTTATTAAAATCTTTACATTTACAAACTCGTGTTATCTTATATGTATACGACGTACGTGTCGTAAACAAAACACAATCAGAGACGTTATCTTCAAACGTCGTGTCGGCCAATGAGCGCAAACACAACAACAAAATTGACTCGCGTTACATTTTGAAATTGGTTTTAATTCGCAGCGTAAACAACGAAAGTTTTCAGTCGGCTGAGAGGAACTGTACGGAAACGACGGTGAAAGACATGCTATCGAACTTTGAGGTTATGTGCGTGCTTACCACCGAGGAACAGTGTATTCGTTAATTTCTCCTCCGCTAAACTGGCAACGACGAGCGACAGAAAGATTAGCAGCTCTCCGATAAAAGTGCGGCTCATGTCGATCGGAGTTACGAGCCGCGTGACACACTTATTCGATTAAATTGCTGCAAAACCGAGTCGGCGTGAAGCGACGGAAAATCAGTACGGCGCAACAGCTGGTACTTGACAGTCGGCTACATGCCTGAGCACGGTATACTTCGCGTCTCGGCCACGCTCGCTCTGTCTCGCTCCCGAAGCAGCCAATCGCCGCCTGGCCGAGTATCTCCCTCTCCGTCGCGCTGCCGTACGCAGCCGGTGTTTCGCGAAGTGACCGCAAGGTGGCGGCGCAGTCGGCCCAAGATGGCCACGCTGGATCAATGAAACGCGAGTAATCATAGTAAAAACAGAAATTGACAAGTGTGCAAGTGAACACCAGACATTGATTACGGTGTAAATGGGCCATGGGGAAGGACCAGGAGCTGCTGGAGGCAGCGAGAAGCGGAAATGTCACCGTGGTCGAGAAGATTTTGGGTCAACGAGCGAAGAGGAGTGGTCCACTGGCAAGGTGGGTGTCACCGTACCAGACTTTGCTTTTCCACGCTTCTTTTCCCATTTTCGCACTCTGCACCGCGTTTCACGCGACACGTTCGATCTCGTGCGCGCAGTGCCGGCTCGATTCGACGAAAAATTGCCCCGATGTCTGTCAATTCGTCACGGGAGGCCAGAGTTACGTGTCCACGTTCCTATTTCGTATCGGTGCTTAGCGATCATCTCTGCTTTCCACGATAATGTGTTTACACAGTATTGACTACCGTTCCGATCGTTTCCTTTCATTTCACTTGCCGAACATTTCCGCCTCGGCAACGATCACTCGCGCGCAGGTAAAACTGCGCTCTCGGCGTAAACGGAGGACGAGGACGAGTCATTACGCGTACCGGTACCTGCGTTCAATTATCTACGCTCGATTGATCGTTACATTTTTCCAATTAATCCCAGACAGTTCGCCTCAGAGAGAAGATACTCGTGGACGCGTGTCTGCTGCGTGTTTCTACCGTTAACACGGCGCAATCCGTTCCGTTCGATAGATTTCGTATCCTTGCAACAGCAACGATGCTCTTCTTCTTCTTCTTCTTCTTTTTGTTTTTCAACATTGCAATCATTACACGGGTTTCCATTCCGCGATGATAGCACGGTGGTATTATTTCCAACAGACGACCAAATTTCGCGTCTCGTAGCCGTAGTGAGCAGCAACGATGGGAACAAACGGTGGGTGCGTGTGCTTTATGAAACTAAACTGTGCAGCAACGATCGTTGCGTTGGAACGCGAATTTCCCGTATCTTAGCAGAGGGTGGTTGCCTTTTGCCGCGCAACGCTCAACAATCCGGCGTAATTTCTCCTCCCCTGTAATACATATTATACAATCGCCGCGTGGAAATAAACGCGTGCATCGTAATTTTAACGGAGCGTAAGCAGCTCCGCTCTGAATATCTACAGGGTAGAATAAACGCGCCCGTATGCGCGCGTTAGCCGCGTTATTGTCCAGTGATTATTCATGATTTCACCGTGACCATGAATCACCCTCGTCGATGCGTCCGCTGCGTGTACGACGACGACACACGCTGCCAGGAGATGTGATGCGCTGCGACACACGAACTGTTACGCGCCGTAACCGTTCCCACCGTCGATTTATTAAAATTCGTGACCGACGTGTTTGCGCTCGCTCTCGATTTTACGATAGAATATAATCGATAGAAAGATGGAAAGGACGAGAGAGAAATCGAGAGGTCGAGCCGTGCGTCTGCAAGCAGCGCGTCCAACTAAAGGGGCTCATAGACGTTAAAGCATCAACCTCCTAGGTTTCATGAAATCATCAGATCATTAGTGATAGTAATAT